GGGGCGGGCGGGGCGCTCACCTGGAGCGGGCGGGGCGGTGACGCTAAGGCTTCGCCTGGGCTCCCCGGCCGGGCCACAGGGGACTCTCAGCCCGAGCATTGTACCCGCGCCACGCCGCCCTAGACAAAGGCGGTATATTTCTGGAAAGGCAGCGGCCCCTGCAGGCGGCAGTGGGGACAACAGACCGGGCCTGAGCGGACCAGGTGGGTGAGCTAGTAGGCAGGACCCGCGGGCCGCTGGTTACAAGGGCTTTGTCCAGCGTCCTGAAGTAGGCGTGGCTCATCCGGCCTTCTGTCTTGCTTCGCTAAATACTAGCGGGCCCTGCCCAGCAAACATCTGCTGGGGTTGTTTGAACCCATTTTCCAGTAAAAAAACTGAGGCTCAGAGCTTATGAAATTTTGAGATCTCTCACTTGCCTTTGAGGTCCCCTCTTGCCACATGAGAGATAAGAGGGATCCCCAAGCACCCTCTACCTCCTTCTGCACCCAACACTTAACACCCACAACTAGGACCACTGGATACTAAGTGCCACCGGTCCACCTCTGCGGTGACTAAGTGAATCCTCCCCACACTCCACTGTGGGGGCTGGAAGCCTGCCACGAGTTGAGGGCTGTCTCTTCTTCCAAGGTCTTGACACTGCCATTCCCAGACCATGAACAGAGCTCTACCTTCCAGGACCACATGGAAGGACCAGCTGGACCAGGCTTCAGCCCTGGCCCTACTGTAAGCCCTATTGGGTCTCTCTGCAACCCAGGGCTGGATACACCTGACTGAAGACGGTAGTCACCCCTGCCCTTTCCCTACGACATCTAAAGGAGGCCATTCTGTGGCATGGTTCAGGGCTGTGGGCAGGATGGGGAGTCGATGCCACAGCCTGGAGGTCCCTCTCCAGCCATCAAGCCCAGCTGTCCCTACGTGTTTGGGGCTGGGGCCTGGGCCTCCTGTCTGCCCACAAGTCTGTGAAGTGGAAGCGAGATACAGACTGCAGATGATCCGAGCCTGTGTCACTGTCCAGCACCTTAGCCAGCACCTTCCTTGCTGAAAGAGGAACCTGTAGGGTACCAAAGTATTCCAGAAGCACATAGGTCCTGCAATGAGGGAACTTTGGGGAAGCAAGGGGGAGGTGAGCAGGGATATGTCCGGTTGCTTACGGAGATGTGGAGAAGGTTTGGACTATTTGTCAGGGTGCACAAGGTTTGTGGTTCAAACTCACCAGTTGCTCCTCAAAACACTGTACTGGGTTACTATAGGTCAGAACCTACTTTTTGGCACTTAACAACAACAAAAACAAGGGTCCCTAAAAACGAATCAGAATTAACTATGGCAGTGAGTTTGGTTTTGGGTTTAGGCAGGGCAGCAAGGGACAGGGAGCTCCCTAGTGGGTGACTGTGGAATTAACACTACTCTGAGCCGGAAGGGTGAGTGTAAGGAGGGCAGCTAGGGTCAGTGGTACAGGCTTACTAGGGCCTAGAACTTTGACCTTTCATACTTGCCCTGCCTCCCACTGTCCCTTTAACATAGTCTGTCTACACTGCTAACCTCTTAAGCAGAAAGCAGGGTCAGGGTGTGGGCAGTGGTTGGGAGCCCAGCAGGGGTATGGAAATGACAGGCCCTTTGGGCAGAATTCATCTGAACTCCCCAGACCTTCTGGGCCTGGAGAGGAGGACATGGGCTGGAGACAGAGTCAGCTCTGTTCTCAGGATTTCGCAGACCTGCCACCCCCTGGCTGGGTTGGACCGCAAGACCAGTTGTCCCCCATCTCCAAATGTTCTGGAGGTTCGACCTCCATGGCCTGGGATAGGAAGGGATATAGATCAGCTTGACTATGTGATCTTGGTTCAATTGCTTGACCTCTCTGAACCTCACTGTAGCTAGCATGTGAATGAGACAGACATTTCCTGGGTGAGGTGAGGGGATGACAAGGCACAGCTGGCCACTGTTCCTCCTTTGTCCAGTCATCCTTTTCCCTGAGAAAACCACAGGTAGGCCCTTATGACAGTGTCTGAGTTTTCACTTACCCCCTGATTCACTCCTCGTTATCCAGCTTGGGGAAATGGGGCCACCAAGGGTCAAGGAACCCTTCCGCTCTAGTCACCCTAAGTTGGGACATGGGGTCCATGGACATGCAGCACTTCCATGCCCTCTGGGGATGGGTTGAGAAATGATGGTGTACAATCATTTCTCATTGCTCAGGGTCACCCCAAGTTCTTGGGAAGAGAGGCTGGGAGTCAAGCTTGTAGAGCAGGTAGCAAGTCCACTCCTATGTCTGTTACCTAAGGGTTGTGCCAATGTGACCTTCCTGGCACTCAGAGTGGGTGGCTGGGGGATATAATCCCAGTGCCAGGGAGCTGAGGGGTGCCAGCTCACCATCTGCTCTCACCACAGAAGGCAGCTGCCTGCCCAATGCCTGAGAAGACTCGATGCCAAGCCTGCTAAGTGCTTCATCGCACTGGGACCTGCAGGTATACATACGCTGATGTCCTCAACTATTTTGCAGATAGGGAAGCAGAGGCCAGAGCCATTCAAGTTGATGCACATCCTAGCAAGTCCCTTGCAGGATTTTCCTCTGTCTGTAGCAACTGCTTCCTCTGTGAATCCCCTAGTGTTCTGCTGGCCTCCCTGCCCTCACCACCTCCAGGCCCCTCAGGGATGGAGAGGGTATCTGGGTTTCCTGTCATTAGCCCTGTACCACAGCAAACTCCTGCTCCAATTAATTCCCCTACCCAACTTTGTTTGGTGCATATTAAGCCATAATTAATTTGCTTCCTCATCTCTTTTTCATCAAAGCTACAGACAGCAACAACCAGGACCAATATGGGGAAGGGGCTAATAGCTGAACCCCTGGCAGTGTCCCTGAGAATCCCACCTGATCATCTTCATACCAGGCAAAGGCCTCATCTCCCAGGATGGTGTCCTCACTGGAAGGGCCCACTACCAGGGCACACAGCACCTTCTACCTCTAGGAGGCTGTGTAGGACCTGGAGCCTCAGTGACTCACTTCCAAGTCAGGAGCCTGATATCCAGAGGGGAGGATGTGCAGGCAACTGGACCCAAGGTTGGCTTTGCACCTTCTTTAGGTTTCTAGAGGGTGGGGTGAAGCCTACTCCTGAGATGAAATTAGGTCATTCTGGAGAGCAATTCTCGGGGGGGGGGGGTCCTTTCTCAGTAGGGGGACAGCCATGAATGTGGTCAGTGGCCTCTGTCTGGGATGACTAGAACAGTACTTGTCCCTAAGGGTTGTACATTCAAGACAGGAAGGTGTGGCAGAGTTACCAAATGTGGGGTCCCAGGCTATGTCCAAGGCATCAACTGAGAAGTCTCACCCTTCCCCACTATTGCTCGATCTCAAAGTCACCCTTCTGACAGTGACAGCTAATTGGGAGCTGCTGTTCACACCAAGTGTCTGTCTGGCAGTCAAAACCGGGTTGGGGTGGGATACCTGCTGAGAGGACCTGCGTGGCCTAGTGTGGCAGGGGACGTAGGCCTGGGCATGGCTGGGCTTCTTCCAAAACAGACAGGAGGAGAGTAGGGTAGGCACTGCAGTCCACCTTGGGGCCATGGTGAGAAGGGTCTCCTGTTAGACCAACTCTCTTTGAAGTTATACTTCAGCAGACCAGGGTCCAGCCTTGTTCTTGCTGGCTCTACTGTCGTCCTGATCTCTCTGGGCCACTGTGGTCCACAGGGCAGGCAGGTTTGCTCTGTTTCCCAGGTAGAAGCCAAGGCTCCCCACAGCTGAAGACAGAAAGGAGCTAAACCAAATCCAACTTGCCACTCCTCCTTG